ACAGTGTAACTGTTACAGTATCCTGAGCTCCTTCACAGTGTAACTGTTACAGTATCCTGAGCTCCTTTACAGTATAACTGTTACAGTATCACGAGCTCCTTTACAGTATAACTGTTACAGTATCCTGAGCTCCTTCACAGTATAACTGTTACAGTATCACGAGCTCCTTCACAGTATAAGTGTTTCAGGGAAAACGTTAATTAGATATTTTATACCTTAATGTAAACTTCTTTTTTTTTAACATTCATGCTGGTATAAATGCATTTCTCTCAAGCTATAATATTATGTTATATAAGGATGAAATGCAATGTGCATTCATATAGGGATTGAATCTCGTTTTTCCAAAAGAAACTGTGACTGGTGTGTTGGCTAATTTACCTTTGTTCATGCTTGAATTAACCTGGGAAGGAATCTAGATTTAATCTTCATAGTTCAAATCACTTTACACAGGAAGTAAAACCAAACACATTTGATTCACATCGCACTGTCATTTCAGGGAAACCCAAAGCAATTCTTGTGAACATTTTCCCACAACCACTTTATTTGGCTTGAGCAACCGTGTCAAGAAAATCATTGAAGAAACAATAGTTTAAATATAACCTTGGTGACTCTCCCCATCTAAATGTATGAAAATATGTAAATGTAAGGAGAATAAACAACATGTGTACTGTTTAACTGCGAAGAATTGAGATCCAATCCTGGAATTTGGTGAAACACATACTTAACCAACTCCAGGTGAAGGGATACAGACTCAGCAACATGAGACAGGTTAACAAGAATTGTAACGGGCTTCTCTGTGTCAGGTTTTGTTAGAATAGGTTGACTTTAGTATGAAATGATTAATTGGGATGTATGCTATTGGAACAATAAATGTTTGTGACCTTTATATAAGCTGATTTACAATTGCCTCCCTTTGTGCATGTTGACAAACCATTAAAATAGAAATTGAAATTGCCCCTTTTTATCAATAATCAATTCATCTTACACCATTAAAACCAAATATATTTCTATTGATTATAAATTGGCAGATTTTGCTATTAGACCAATGTAAATATTGACATACATTTAGATACATACTTTAGAAGGATTTTAAGTATGTTACATTGGCATTAGACAGGTGTATATTGTTACCCTGTTAGTATATGTCAGATTGGCATTAGACATGTGTATATTGTTGCCCTGTTAGTATATCAGATTGGCATTAGACGGGTGTATATTTTTACACTGTTAGTATGTCAGATTGGCATTAGACAGGTGTATATTGTTACCCTGTTAGTATATGTCAGATTGGCATTAGACATGTGTATATTGTTACCCTGTTAGTATATCAGATTGGCATTAGACGGGTGTATATTTTTACCCTGTTAGTATATCAGATTGGCATTAGACGGGTGTATATTGTTACCCTGTTAGTATGTCAGATTGGCATTAGACAGGTGTATATTGTTACCCTGTTAGTATATGTCAGATTGGCATTAGACGGGTGTATATTGTTACCCTGTTAGTATGTCAGATTGGCATTAGATAGGTGTATATTGTTACCCTGTTAGTATATGTCAGATTGGCATTAGACGGGTGTATATTGTTACCCTGTTAGTATGTCAGATTGGCATTAGACAGGTGTATATTGTTACCCTGTTAGTATATGTCAGATTGGCATTAGACGGGTGTATATTGTTACCCTGTTAGTATGTCAGATTGGCATTAGACAGGTGTATATTGTTACCCTGTTAGTATATGTCAGATTGGCATTAGACGGGTGTATATTGTTACCCTGTTAGTATGTCAGATTGGCATTAGACAGGTGTATATTGTTACCCTGTTAGTATATGTCAGATTGGCATTAGACGGGTGTATATTGTTACCCTGTTAGTATGTCAGATTGGCATTAGACAGGTGTATATTGTTACCCTGTTAGTATATGTCAGATTGGCATTAGACGGGTGTATATTGTTACCCTGTTAGTATGTCAGATTGGCATTAGACAGGTGTATATTGTTACCCTGTTAGTATATGTCAGATTGGCATTAGACGGGTGTATATTGTTACCCTGTTAGTATGTCAGATTGGCATTAGACAGGTGTATATTGTTACCCTGTTAGTATATGTCAGATTGGCATTAGACGGGTGTATATTGTTACCCTGTTAGTATGTCAGATTGGCATTAGACAGGTGTATATTGTTACCCTGTTAGTATATGTCAGATTGGCATTAGACGGGTGTATATTGTTACCCTGTTAGTATGTCAGATTGGCATTAGACAGGTGTATATTGTTACCCTGTTAGTATATGTCAGATTGGCATTAGACGGGTGTATATTGTTACCCTGTTAGTATGTCAGATTGGCATTAGACAGGTGTATATTGTTACCCTGTTAGTATATGTCAGATTGGCATTAGACGGGTGTATATTGTTACCCTGTTAGTATGTCAGATTGGCATTAGACAGGTGTATATTGTTACCCTGTTAGTATATGTCAGATTGGCATTAGACGGGTGTATATTGTTACCCTGTTAGTATGTCAGATTGGCATTAGACAGGTGTATATTGTTACCCTGTTAGTATATGTCAGATTGGCATTAGACGGGTGTATATTGTTACCCTGTTAGTATGTCAGATTGGCATTAGACAGGTGTATATTGTTACCCTGTTAGTATATGTCAGATTGGCATTAGACGGGTGTATATTGTTACCCTGTTAGTATGTCAGATTGGCATTAGACAGGTGTATATTGTTACCCTGTTAGTATATGTCAGATTGGCATTAGACGGGTGTATATTGTTACCCTGTTAGTATGTCAGATTGGCATTAGACAGGTGTATATTGTTACCCTGTTAGTATATGTCAGATTGGCATTAGACGGGTGTATATTGTTACCCTGTTAGTATGTCAGATTGGCATTAGACAGGTGTATATTGTTACCCTGTTAGTATATGTCAGATTGGCATTAGACGGGTGTATATTGTTACCCTGTTAGTATATGTCAGATTGGCATTAGACAGGTGTATATTGTTAGCCTGTTAGTATATCAGATTGGCGTTAGACGGGTGTATATTGTTACCCTGTTAGTATGTCAGATTGGCATTAGACAGGTGTATATTGTTACCCTGTTAGTATATGTCAGATTGGCATTAGACGGGTGTATATTGTTACCCTGTTAGTATGTCAGATTGGCATTAGACGGGTGTATATTGTTACCCTGTGAGTATGTCAGATTGGCATTAGACATGTGTATATTGGTACCCTGTTAGTATATGTCAGATTGGCATTAGACGGGTGTATATTGTTACCCTGTTAGTATGTCAGATTGGCATTAGACGGGTGTATATTGTTACCCTGTTAGTATATGTCAGATTGGCATTAGACGGGTGTATAGACGAGTGTTGTTGTTTTTTTCTACAGAAAAAGGATTAGTCGCCCTAATTAAGGCATTTACCCCCGACATTTGATAATGAACTATTCCAGCCTTTGAAATTGGAAGAGTTCAAATGTGTTTTCAGGGATGAATGTGTTGAGGCATGTTCTCTTGTCAGGTCAAATACAGTGTGTATTATTATATTGAATTTATACTAAAACGTTCTCTTGGTTGTTCTTTCTAGGAATGAGAACCCTAATCTCCTTTTTGGGTCGTTTCCTACCAAGTCCACTCCGGTCCTCGCAGTCCATTTCACCCGCAGGAACTTACTATTGGCTAGCGGACCACTACAGACTTGAAAAGTCTCCGGGCATCAAGGTCACGACTTTACCACTCAAGGTCACGACTTTACCACACTGAAGAGATCAAGGTCATCTAGGTGTGAACCACTTTGAGGTCAAGGTCAAGAGGAAATCACCACAGTATGAAGGTCAAGGTCAACATGAAATTACTACAGTGTAGAGATGAAGATGTTGACAATCAGGAAGTGACCGTCTGTCTGCCCAGGACAAACTGAGGTTCCCGACTGACATTTTATGTATTGAAGGTTGAGACTGATCCTAGTGGTCACTGCAGGGGGCGACAAAGTGCCATTAAAAATCCTTACCGCTACCTGTATAGTGAACTGTGTTATCGGTGAAAACCTGACATTTCAATGCTTATAGGACTGATAGTGCCATACATTGAAGAGCAATCAGTTTATGTGAATGGTTAGGCTCAGATATCATTTATCATAGACATGTTTTTGACAAACAGTTAAGATAAAAAAAATCTCAGTGTTTTTAAATGTCACAATTTGAGCTAAGCAGTAGGACATGCTAACTGATCCTGGGATTCACCGAGTCTCCTATTACATTAACAGGAAGCTGATTCCCCACTCTAAGGATGTAGTGTGTATAGTATAAATGTACCATATTTATTTCGTCTTGGAGGAAAAAGGTTGACATCCTGCTGTAGAAGACTTTTTAGCGTCATGAATCACAAATGTTGTTTCCAAGCATTTTGTTAATTTATTCTTTGATCCTATTAAACAATTTAATATTGTGAATACATATTTCTATGTGATCTTGTTCTTGCAAAAAGTTGTTTGTAGGGATTCGATTTGCAAAAGAATTTGATGTCGGCAAAATAAAATGATCAAACTTCATCTAACTTACGTTTTCTGTTTTTAGCAGTCAGTTTCCAACATCTCATGTATTAAAATCAATCTTACCTGTATATAAGCAGAAGATTATATGTGATTGATTAAACACAGCCGAGGGGCCTGTCATTGTCTATCAAAAACAGCCGAGGGGCCTGCAATTGTCTATCAAACACAGCCGAGGGGCCCATCATTGTCTATCAAACACAGCCGAGGGGCCTGTCATTGTCTATCAAACACAGCCAAGGGGCCTATCATTGTCTATCAAACACAGCCGAGGGGCCTGTCATTGTCTATCAAACACAGCCGAGGGGCCCGTCATTGTCTATCAAACACAGCCGAGGGGCCTGTCATTGTCTACCAAACACAGCCGAGGGGCCTGTCATTGTCTATCAAACACAGCCGAGGGGCCCGTCATTGTCTATCAAACACAGCCGAGGGGCCTGTCATTGTCTACCAAACACAGCCGAGGGGCCTGTCATTGTCTATCAAACACAGCCGAGGGGCCCGTCATTGTCTATCAAACACAGCCGAGGGGCCTGTCATTGTCTACCAAACACAGCCGAGGGGCCCGTCATTGTCTACCAAACACAGCCGAGGGGCCCGTCATTGTCTATCAAACACAGCCGAGGGGCCCGTCATTGTCTATCAAACACAGCCGAGGGGCCTGTCATTGTCTATCAAACACAGCCGAGGGGCCTGTCATTGTCTCCCTTTATATATTTATTTTGATGTACGTTAACTTTCATTACATTTAATCTTTAGTTTTAGTTCTTGTGAAGCTTGGTATTGGTGATTGTGGTTAAATGACCAAGTATAAGTCTTTAGTCTGGTTACAACTGAGCCTAGGACGAAGATAATGATGAAACCATAGGTATGTACGATCCGTGACAGAAACCCAGAGAGATATAGCGACAAGACCTTGTGTTTACATAATGATCAGTTAGGTAGGGCTGTTTTGCTCATTTAAAAAATACTTGCAAGATTAATGGCGTATTCAACATACATTGTTGTTATTTCTGATTTCATTTTAAGTTACAAGAAATCTTTCCAACATTAAATTAAGAATAATTTTGATGAATAATTCTGAACTCCAAATACTATGGGTCAATGAGAATTGGAAATATAGTACAACAAGGGACCCAGTCCCCTGAAGTTTACTTGGAAATTCCCCCTGGATCACAATTTATGCATTCTTGATAATTTCAGCAGTCCTGAAATGTCCCTAAATTTGAGTGGGATCCTTCCTCCAAGTTTGTTCAAATGAATGACCTTCACCCATATTCAAAGTATTCATTTTATCAAAAACTTTTCCGACTACTCCTAAATAAAAGAATGGCTAGGATGTAGCATGCTGGGATGAAAGGTTTGAAAAGTTTGTTCAAAGGAATGACCTTGAACAATCTTCAAGGTCACAGGGTTCAAATGTGTTAAAAACTTTAAATGACTTTTGAATAACAAAAATGCAGAGAATGGTGATATGTGACCAGTAGCTTGCCCTACAAAAGGGAGAACAACAAAAACTGAGGTAGGTTTCACCTACAAAAGGGAGAACAACTGAAACGGAGGAGGTTTCACATACAAAAGGGAGGACAACAACAGAAACGGAGGAGGTTTCACCTACAAAAGGGAAGACAACAACAGAAACGGAGGAGGTTTCACCTACAAACGGAAGGACACCAACTGAAACGGAGGAGGTTTCACCTACAAAAGGGAGGACAACAACAGAAACGGAGGAGGCTTCACCTACAAAAGGGAAGACAACAACAGCAACGGAGGAGGTTTCACCTACAAAAGGGATGACAACACCAGAAACGGAGGAGGTTTCGACTACAAAAGGGAGGACAACAACAGAAACGGATGAGGTTTCACCTACAAAAGGGAGGAACCCAACAGAAACGGATGAGGTTTCACCTACAAAAGGGAGGACAGCAACAGAAACGGAGGAGGTTTCCCCTACAAAAGGGATGACAACACCAGAAACGGAGGAGGTTTCGGCTACAAAAGGGAGGACAACAACAGAAACGGATGAGGCTTCACCTACAAAAGGGAGGACAGCAACAGAAACGGAGGTGGTTTCACCTACAAAAGGGAGGACAGCAACAGAAACGGAGGAGGTTTCCCCTACAAAAGGGATGACAACACCAGAAACGGAGGAGGTTTCACCTACAAAAGGGAGGACAACAACAGAAACAGAGGAGGTTTCAGCTAAAATAGGGATGACAACAACAGAAACGGAGGAGGTTTCACCTACAAAAGGGAAGACACCAACAGAAACGGAGGAGGTTTCATCTACAAAAGGGAAGACAACAACAGAAACGGATGAGGTTTCACTTACAAAAGGGAGGACAACAACAGAAACAGAGGAGGTTTCAGATAAAATAGGGATGACAACAACAGAAATGGAGGAGGTTTCACCTACAAAAGGGAGGACAACCACAGAAACGGAGGAGGGTTCACCTACAAAAGGGAGGACAACACCAGAAACGGAGGAGGTTTCGACTACAAAAGGGAGGACAACAACAGAAACAGAGGAGGTTTCAGATAAAATAGGGATGACAACAACAGAAATGGAGGAGGTTTCACCTACAAAAGGGATGACAACACCAGAAACGGAGGAGGTTTCGACTACAAAAGGGAGGACAACAACAGAAACAGAGGAGGGTTCAGCTAAAATAGGGATGACAACAACAGAAATGGAGGAGGTTTCACCTACAAAAGGGATGACAGCACCAGAAACGGAGGAGGTTTCACCTACAAACGGGAGGAAAACAACAGAAAGGGATGAGGAATCACCTACAAAAGGGAGGACAACAACGGAAACGGAGGAGGTTTGACCTACAAAAGGGAGGACTACAACAGAAACGGAGGAGGTTTCACTTACAAAAGGGAGGACACCAACAGAAACGGAGGAGGTTTCATCTACAAAAGGGAAGACAACAACAGAAACGGAGGAGGATTCACCTACAAAAGGGAGGACAACAACCGAAACGGAGGAGGTTTCACCTACAAAAGGGAGGACACCAACAGAAACGGATGAGGTTTCACNACCTACAAAAGGGAAGACAACAACGGAAACGGAGGAGGTTTCACCTACAAAAGGGAGGACAACAACAGAAACGGAGGAGGTTTCACCTACAAAAGGGAAGACAACAACAGAAACGGAGGAGGTTTCACTTACAAAAGGGAGGACAACAACAGAAACGGAGGAGGTTTCACCTACAAAATGGAGGACAACAACAGAAACGGAGGAGGTTTCTGCCAAAGGGTAAGTGAGCTTATACCATGGTGTGGAGTCCATCTGTCGTTTGTCATTTTTTCCTGTTATGACTTCTTTTAAAGAACGAAAAGGCGTAGAATCATAGTGTTAGGCTGGAAGCTTCCTTGGATAAGGAATGACCTTGACCTGTATTTAAGGTCATGGGTGTCAAAGATGTCATAAAACGTTTTATCATATACTTAAAACACAGCGAACCTCTTGTTAATGTTCTGCTGTTCTGTTTTAAACAACGGGCAATGTAAAACATACATATAAGATATTTAGAAATACTTCACATAAAGTACTACCTTGCTGCTCAGAACGTTCACAAGAGAAATCCATATCAAATGTGTAGGCCATAGTTAAATCGATTCATTTCCTTTCTTAAGAAATCTTTAAATTTCCTGATGAATACAAATGTTCAAATACTGCTATTTATTGCTATAAAGGTGAATGACCGGAGCCTCATACACGTCTTAGTTTAAACAATTTCAGCAAAATAATCAATTAAAATATCGAAATGACAAATGCATAATGACAAGTTTACTGGAGTAATGCGGCATAATTACACACACATTATTGTTAAGTAAATATCTAAATTAGACCACTATCCTTTGTATTCACTCTGTGACCTTGGTATTTTGTCTTCTTCTACTGTCGTTGTTACCGTTGTGTTTTGTCCCCATGTATTGACGCTGTTACCGTGGTATTTTGTCCCCATGTATTGACGTTGTTACCGTGGTATTGTTGTCCCCATGTAATGACGATGTTACCGTGGTATTTTGTCCCGATGTTTTGACGTTGTTACCGTTGTATTTTGTCCCCATGTATTGACGTTGTTACCGTGGTATTTTGTCTCCATGTATTGACGTTGTTATCGTGGTATTTTGTTCCCATGTAATGACGATGTTACCGTGGTATTTTGTCCCCATGTATTGGCGTTGTTACCGGGGTATTTTGTCCCCATGTATTGACGTTGTTATCGTGGAATTTTGTCCCCATGTATTGGCGTTGTTACCGTGGTATTTTGTCCCCATGTATTGGCGTTGTTACCGTGGTATTTTGTCCCAATGAATTGACGTTGTTACTGTGGTATTGTTGTTCCCATGTCATGACGATGTTATAGTGGTATTTTGTCCCCATGTATTCACGTTGTTACCGTGGTATTTTGTCCCCATGTATTGCCGTTGTTACCGTGGTATTTTGTCCCCATGTATTGACGTTGTTATCGTGGAATTTTGTCCCCATGTATTGGCGTTGTTACCGTGGTATTTTGTCCCCATGTATTGGCGTTGTTACCGGGGTATTTTGTCCCCATGTATTGACGTTGTTATCGTGGAATTTTGTCCCCATGTATTGGCGTTGTTACCGTGGTATTTTGTCCCAATGAATTGACGTTGTTACTGTGGTATTGTTGTTCCCATGTCATGACGATGTTATAGTGGTATTTTGTCCCCATGTATTCACGTTGTTACCGTGGTATTTTGTCCCCATGTATTGGCGTTGTTACCGGGGTATTTTGTCCCCATGTATTGACGTTGTTATCGTGGAATTTTGTCCCCATGTATTGGCGTTGTTACCGTGGTATTTTGTCCCAATGTATTGACGTTGTTACTGTGGTATTGTTGTTCCCATGTCATGACGATGTTATCGTGGTATTTTGTCCCCATGTATTGACGGTGTTACCGTGGTATTTTGTCCCCATGTATTGACGCTGTTACCGTGGTATTGTGTCCCCAT